ATTTGGAGGAAGAAAGTGCAGTGGTTCTCTACTTCTATGCTCAGCATCATTTAGAAAAAGCAAATACAGTGCAGAGTTTATAAAAAAGATGTGTACAATACTAAGTGTAAATACAGCTTTGGGCATTTACAAAGCTACAGGGTCAGCACCCAGAGCAGAGCTGCCACCAGTTACAGGAATGACATGGAAAAGCGAGGAAGAAAAACGCAGCAGAGGCAACACAGGTAACAGGTCTCCATGTGACTCCAAGTTACATTTATACCCGTTACATAAATCTAAAGAGATGCCTAACAGACTCCTTGGGAAATGCTACCTTTAAAGCTGTAACAAATATTTTCCTCAGGCTTTTTCAAAGTACAAACACTAGACAACTACTGACAGGCAAACAGACGTGCCACATCTTACCTTCCTGAAAACCAGCTGTACATCATATATGGCTGTACTATATGAACAAAGATGGTAAGTCACCCTGGAAAAATGGATAGAGCATCCACATCAAGGGAAAAAAAAATGTTAGTGATCACTTACACCCTTGGAAGACCCGTTGCGTAATTTATCCAGGCACAGACAGCCATTTTTACAGCGACACCTCGGTAGCTCTAAAATATGCACAGCAAGTTCTTGTCAAGGCCCACATTGTACATTTAAATGAGAGAATGTTAGCAGTTTGCTGGAACAGGCTATTTTTTAGCCCAAAGTTTCTCTTTCATAACCTCACATCATCCCCTTTCCCATCCTTTAAAAATTCTGTTCCAACCTTTTTTCTTTAAACAAATGGGGACCTGAAATCCACTGTCCTATAAGTAGTTTTATGAGTTGGCCACAGGTTTTTTCAACTAATAATTCTAATATTGACCAGCAGTAGTGTTTTGAAATGCCTGAAATAGTGAGGCTTTGGTACAAGTTTACAATATAAAGAAGCCCACTGCTATGATTTACTTTGTTTAAAGGATATGTCAGAAAATTATAAAAATTTCAGAATTCATTTAAGAACTATTGGATGGGAATAGGGCTACAAGGAAAATTATTTAAAGGGACCAAACAGGTAAACAAATTATTGAATTAAAAGAGAAGGAAGAGGATCCATACCAGTGGATCACTGATAGGTCATTAACATTTTAGTCAACAGCAAAACATTTGTGTTAGTTAAATGTAGATGAACTTTGCAAAACAAAACAGACCACGCAGAAGCCAGAACAGCGAGGCACCCCTGAGAATTAGTTAGGCAGGAATTTGGACAAATAAAAGATAGTACGAGTGGAAATTCCTGTTCAGCCAGCATACAGGCAACACAGGCTGCAAGTGCAGAGACCGTGGGACATCCATGACAACGCTGAATTCAGATTTGAGGTTCTCGTTCACAGAGGAATACTGACAAAAAGCAAAGCAAATGCAAAGACAAGTCACAAAATGACTGCAGGAGTTGGAAGAGTAGTAATTAAACAACAACAAAAAAATCAATATATAGGACAAAGGTCAAAAGTACCAGTTTGTTAAAGCAAAAGGGTAGCTGCAAGGGGTCATGAGGAGGAGAAACATTGTAGGCTGAAGTTTTCAGAGCAACACAAAGTTCAATATGGGTATCAAAAACCATTGCTTAATTAAGTAAAAATTCCCCAAGTCACCACACGGACAGACTTACACTTTCAAGCGTTATCTTGAATACCTGTACCGCAGGCACTAGCTGTGTTCCCACAGGACTATAGTTTCAGGAACAACACATGTAGAAATGGAAGAAAATTCACTGTGGATTTATGAAAGTGCAAAATAAAAAAAAAAAATGAGAGAGACATGTATCTGAACATTTATTTAAAATACAGGAAGGAAGCAGTAAGTTTGAGGTGATGATTAGGCAAAACCTGCCAATTTTGGCTGGAATAGTCACCAAGAGAACAGCTGCGGGCCCGCCTGCTTGGGACACGTAAAACTCAAGCCTGGACAACACAGATGCACAGATGCAAATTCTAAGGATCCAGCTGACACAGAGCAGGAGGGGTGTCCTCATTTCCCCCCACTGTAAGTGAAAATACCAGTTTTTCTCCTTTTACAGTAATAGGGCCAAGTCAATAATCAAAGACAAGAGACATACTTGCAGTGCTGCAAATTAACTACAGGCCTGTTATAAGAACTCATGACAACTATGTTCAAACATTTCTTCTAGGCAATGAATCATGATTTTTTGTTACTTAAAACCAGCTGAACACCATTTAAGAATAATATCTTTTACATTTGATTTACATACCAAGCTTCATGGAAATGTGGCTCTGTACTTCAGGAGAGCTATCCTCGAAAGGAAGGAATTAAATTTACTCTATCAAGTAATCTGTACTGTACACTTCCCTTGTGTATGAAAATTATGCACCAAATAAGATTCAAAAATTCAGCAAGCTCTAATCCATGCATCCTTTATTCCATTACAATCACTGTGTTGCATTCTAGCAACAGGACACAAACTGCAATCAATCGCGATCAATTTATACAACAATCTGAGGCTTACAGTACATTTAAGGCCTTTAAATTTGGAAAAATTAGACCTATGCTAGTAGTGTAACAATTTTTAAGTGTCTTGCATTTCTGATGCATAATCTGTGCGATTCCAGTGTCAAAGAATCAAATTACTTCTAAACTAAAAAGATCAGCTCAATGAAAATTTAGTTACATAAATTCATCAAAACATAAATGTGTAAATTTTTTTTTGTCCTGGAAACTTTATAAAACTTTAATAGCAAAATAATATAGGGATAAAAACATATTTTAACAAAATGTATTCAATCATATACAAACCAGAATTTTGCAGTTTATTGTAACTAGACTTAAATTAAAACTACCAATTAAGAATCTATGCACAATGTAAATTCAAATATGTACAGTACTTTAAAAAGTCTACAGGAATGCTTTACAGAAGGAAATGTCTGTTATGGCTATTATTCAGACCATCTGAATATTAAAATGAGTTCTCTAGTAGTAAATTTACACATTTATTTTTAAACAAAAGCAATTTTGTCCCTAGTTCCTTTAAGAATATTCCAGTTATGTTTATACAGGTAATGGAGAGGTCGTTACAGAGTTCAGCCCCATATAATAGTTTGTTTATTTTAAGGAAAAGGTATATTTAAATAATTTACTCGGGAAGATCAGTAAGTTAACAAAAGAACACTAGAAGGGAGGAGGGGGAACTTCATCACAATAACTTTCCAGTTACAATACCACAGCTAGAAACTTCACAGAGAAAGTACTCCCTTAGATTGAACCCTTGACTGATTGTTCAGAACAAGCTGTAGCTCATAACAGTTGTGTTCTCCCACTGAGAACACTGGAAAAAGAAGTCTTTGTAGGACAGAATTATAAACGATCTGAAGTGAGACAGAGAAAACTGATCTTCGATTAATACAGCACTAGGTAAAAAGTGTCCCCATAAGCAGCTAGTATTCCCACTTCCTTCAGGGCAATGAAGCTAAAAATTGTTGGAATTACAGTAGTTGACCATATTTGTGTGCATTAGTAGAATAATTTCCAGATACAAAAGACAAATTTCATCAGATGTTTGATTAGAACACCCAAAAGACAGGGTATTTCTTCATAGTATAAAGCTATTACAGCTATCCAGTTAAAGCATGTGCAAAACCAGGTAATTTCTTCCGTTCACAGTAACTGAGGTAATATCAGGTAGGTTTCTTCAGGAGTTGGGAAGTTCATGAGATATGAACTGTTTTAGTCTCTCTAAGTATTGTGCATAAAGCTCTATGTCATTATGCCCAGCCCCTTCCACCCAGAGGGGCTCTACCGCTCGTGGACATCGCTCGTACATGGCCAGGCCGTGGGAGAAATCGATTACCTCATCTTCGGTACCATGGATTACCAACACAGGAGAGGTTACTTTAGATATCTTGTCAATGCTGAGGGATGGAAAAGAAAAACATAGCTCAGTTCAGGGCTTTAACTTTCATACCATTACAGAAAGCAAGCTTAACTAGCGATACATGACCCAGTCACCACTGCATGTTCTTAAATGGCTGCAAAACATTGGAATTGCGCCCAAGTGATATGGAACAAGGCTCACTCCCAAAACGCACGTGTGAACAGGAGCCTGCACTGCCATCACCACCATCCCACCAGTTCTAACAACAAGAAGTTCGAATGGGCAGCATGCAAATAAAGTTTGGCACCAAAACAACCCCAAAACAGTGACTACATCTATCACAAGAACTACTGAAAGGCAAGTAAGACTCCATGAGACATGCTGCCAGCGCGGGCTCTTCACATTACACATTATCACCTTCCAATGTAACAGATTAGGAACTAATTAACTACATTCCAGTCATAAGACTTCATTTTAAAAAAAGAAAAAAAGAGCCTGAGCTCATGAGGTTTGAACCTGTCTTTAAACCCCCAAATTAGGCAGATTCAGCTAAACAAAAACAATCTGTTCTTCGTACTGGTTGTTTAAGTTCAAATGATGAAAGAGAAACCTGTGGGAGAAGAGCGTTACACGAGGATATTTAACTGCAAACCAAAAGAAACTCACACAGGATTTTACTTCATGCAACCAGCTTCTTCGCCAGCTCTGACTGCAAAGTGGCCTTAAAGTAAGCTCTTTTCCTTTTGTTCAGCTAACTTAGCAGACCACTATAGCTAGTGACCACCTCTCATGGGAAAATGGGTTCAGAGGCAAGGGAAGAGTGACAAAGGCACCTGCACACCCAAGAGTTCAGGCCAGAAAACCCCAGTTATGAAGCATACTGGTAGCACATCAACTACAAAGCGGTAAACAGCAGTTTTTTCCGACTGTCTTCATGCAGGCACCAGCTTTTATTTCCAGGCAGCCATTTCATGTTGGTAGTTACCAGTAATTCCAAATCAGTATAGAGACACCAAGTGCTAATGAGCTCTCAGCTTCCTACCAGCTCCACTCATATGAACAAATGGAGGAGTTGGCTCAGGACATTAGACAGAGTATGCGATGAAGCGGGTGGAAAAATGAGTATCAGTAATATTTGATTTGAGAGAAGGACAAGTCTATTTCTTTACGCTATTAATAAAAGGTGTTTGGATTTTCCTGCTCCTGAAGAACAAGAAAGCATGCAATTTTGGTAAGACTAGAGATTTTATGAAGTGATCAAGACTGCTTAAAATGATTAAAAAATACAGATGCCAACATATACTGACTTAAAAACAGGTTTAAAGAAGCTTTATGAAAATACAAAGTTAATTAAAAATTAAGATGTAGACTGAAGCACTAAACCTCACACATATAAATCTCAGCATTTAGTATTCTAGAGAACCGTCATTGGTATTCCAGTAAACAGCTGAGTGTAAACACATTTCTGTCTCTGTCTCAATACTTCTCAAAAAAAACCAAACCAAAGCTTCGTGTCATTTAAAGAGGAAAAGTGTTATTTAAAATTAAAATGCAGCCTATTTCACTTTTCCTGTCTGGAACTTGAGTTGTGCACAACTAGGCTGAATACAGAAAAATATCCCAAGAACATAAGAGAGACATCAGAATAATGCAGATTTTTTTTTTTTCCATAATTTTCATCCCCAAATTAATATCATGGCCAAATGTACATACTTTGTAACCAACATGCTATATAAACTGAAGTCTTAAGCCCATGAAGGGTCTGTCCCCAAGTTCCACGACGTGACAGACATCAGCTACATACAGCTACAGAAATGTTTATACATAATTTTAGTGGCTAGATACTAAGTTCTCATTTATTGTAGGAAACCAGGGAACCCCTTTCACTTCAGTATTTAGGTAATGAAACTATTTTTTCCACATATATTGACAGACCATTAAGCTAGATAATATTTGTATTCTGCAGAAAATTGGAAAGCGTCCCGTTGCCAACTCAGCGACTCATAAGGCAGTATTTAAACTGCACATTAGACTCACTTAGTATTCTTAGCCACACCGCTCTGCAGCTAGAAAAATCTAGAGAGACCAAATTCTCAGGGAGTCCCAACATAAAATGCACATAATAGCAATTCACTGTAGGTGCACACAGAACTATTTTGTTTCCCACCGTGAAGACAGACAGTTGAGCTGCACACATTCATAAAAGCGCACTGCTGTTTATTTTCACTGCTTACAGTACAAGTGAAGTCAGACTGACAGCAATGAACAGCTCAGTAGGGTAAGAACAAAATACTCAAGTGCTACAGTACATCTGTTGTCACTGTTTCCCCCCCTTTTTCTTTTTTAAACTGTTATTTGATTTGGCTGATATCAGCTAATCACTGTTACTTTTGTAATCAGAGCTATTTTTAAGGCTTTGTTTTTTCCTCCCTCTCGCAGAAGCATTTGTAAATATTGGATTTCAGGTTTGAGGATGATGAATGAGTTCGAGTATAAGTGTTTCAAACTCTGACTGCACCTTCAACAATTTAATTACTTAATAACCTATTTGGAAGAATTCTAAACATGGGGACTGGACACAGACACTGTGAGAGCCACTATTACTTGGTCACTACTACTCGTAGCTGTTTGGCATGCAGATTTATATCTATGGCCTCCCCCACCTTCTAATTTTAATCTGTTGTAACCAAAATAAAACAAACATAACAAATGCTATGAATATCCCCTATTACACTTACAGCAAACATGACCTTCTGAAGCAAAGCCAAGCTTTGCACAGGACTTCAGTGAGTCTCTGCTTTGTCTTCTCCCTTCCACAGACCATTTAGCCTTTTATCTGTGCCTCTCCTCACCCACCCCAGGTCCACATACACTGCTAGGAAGAGAATGGCTTCCCCTCTCATTCTCCCATAATTTAAACTGGGTCAAATGAGAAGTTTTAAAAGATTCCTATAACATCTGCTATTCCCAGGACCTCTACTATTCCCAAATATTTGGATACTCTAATTTTGGTCTGTTGCAATTGCTTTTTAAATGAAACACTAGGCTATAAAGGCAACTGTTTTATCTTGAAGCCAGTTGTATATAGCTTTCGTACGTAAGATATTCTAGAGCTTCTTAAAACAAGCTCAAAATCTTCCAAAAGAGGGACAGTAACTTACTTTATTTTGGTCACAGACATTAGGATCTTACATGATCTCCACCAGGGAAGAACAAATACAAGTCTCAGTATCTTTAGTGATTTTATATAGACAGCATACCAAAAATGCAGATGAGTTTTTATTTACAAGGACCAAAGGCAAAGAAACACTAAATGCATTCCCTCAAGATTATACATGAAATGCAGAACCAAGCTGAAAAGTGAACCACACCAGTCTAACATTCTAGTTTCTGACTCTCTTGTTTTCTCCCTTTAGAAGCAACAATTATCTATACCTTTTTCACTGCTGATCTGGTAAAACTATAGCAATATTTTAACAAGCAGCTTGAAAACAGAACATCCATTTCATGATATCATATTACCTTCTAAATCAAAGTTGACTGAGATGTTAAGAGTGTACAACTACTAATTTGTTAGTCATTAGCCCGAAGGACTTAATAGTATATTATCAGTTGTTAAGCTATTGCTCCAAACTGACAGCATGAAAATTCTGATACTAACAACCCATAACACAAGAAACAGGAGAAAAATTAGTTGTAAACACTAAGACTTTATTTGTTCATTAAACTGATGTGATAGTCAGCTCGAGACTGACATAAGCCTCTTTCTTACATGGTGAATCTCTGCTTGGATTTAGAAGGTGTGCATATCTGAAGTTTAAAATGCAGGTGACAATTCAATAAAGTTCCCTGGAAAGTTACACAACTAGTCCCTTTCAAACACCTAAACAGCATGTTGAGTATAGAACAACCCTCTTTGCAGTGTTTATACGTACCTTGGAAAAGCATCAAAGCAATAGGTTTTCCTAGTGTCAGGAAAAGCTACCCGTAATCCGGACATCAAGGGAGAATGAAGGATTACTGCTGCACACTCGTACCGAGATGCCAGGTCTACTGTAGGGACAGTACCAATACTCTGGCCATACAGAATAATGTTCTCAGGACTAACACCATACCTGTAGAGAAAAGAAACACCCCTTAAAAACAAAACAAAACAAAACCAAGAAGCAAAACAAACACACAACAAAACACACAACACATTTTGCATCACACAGGCAAAAATCAAAGAAAAACAAAAGGAGAGGGGGATGAAAACCAAAGCATCCCTCTTACCCATTGCAGCTCTTTAAAATGTATTCCTAGGAGACATGAATTTACAAGTCTAAACTTTAAAACAGTCCAGTAAAGTAAATAATCAAAACATCATACAGGCTGAAGAGAGCTATCCTTGAAGAAGGAATGTCAGTTTGTTCATTAATCTTCACCATCTTCATGAACACCTCTTATTTTTCACTCCACAGCACAGCAAATTATAAATTACACTTCCCCCCGACCCAGAGTCACTCTCAGGAATTTCAATTAGGTATTCTGGAGGCTAACAACCTTTCCACCATTAAACAAGATAGTTATTCCTCTGCCCACCTTTCTTCCCACACAGCTGGAACAAAAAGACCAAACCGCCTTGTTAGTGTAGCTGCAGACACCAAAGAAGATAAAAATTTGAGAGGATAGTTCTGTTCATTTTTTTCAATTTCTGATCAGTGTAAATTATTCCTCATTTTTCTTTTCCAGTTTAAAATGTCAAGTTTATTTTGTAAGATATATCATTCCATAAAATTCAGGGTTCATAGGGAGTCCTGGATGGCTCCCCAATATTCCCATCCAGTCTATAAAACTGTCTTAGCTTGTGTGCTGTTTCACAGCTGCAAAAAACTTGAGGATGATACCAATTCAGTTTTTATTTAAAGTATGCAAAACATCAAGGAATTTGGAAGGGGCACAGGAGCAGGCAAGAGCGGCTAGGAAGAAGTGAGGAATACAACAGTATTTGGCCACCACAACTTGTTAGGAAAGCTGCAAATCAAAGCTGTTACTCAGTTAATTATCAAATAGTTACCCAGAAGATGTCTATGTATAACTCCACTTCTTATCGCAAGCCTTATAAAGAATAACGAACTGCAGAAGAGAATACATTTCTAGTAGAAAATACTTTGTGCAGAGCATGTCTTTTTGCCAGGCTACACTGCCTCCAGTCCTGGTGTCACTGCTATGACACTGAAAAATCAAACCCTACAGTTCAGGCTATCCCCAATGTACACCTGGAAGGTTTCCACTCCTTTACCAAGCTGATAGTGAGGTGTATGGCAGGCGTAGATAGTACTTGACTTTCCAGCAGCTAAATGATTGGGTATGTGCAAAAGAGAGAAAATTACAATGGAAGAATAATCAATTCATAATTAAAACTACAATAAAAGAATAATCCAGTACTAATCATCCAACTACAGGCTGTCAAGATTGCCTGGTTTTATGATGAAGTAAAACTAGACTGGATTGTAGCCTCTGTGAAACTGGAATTTTCTTAGTATTTCTATACTACTGAGCATAAGGGTGCTTTTGGCATCCACTGTAATATGAATAAGCAACTGTATAAAAATATCTCCCTGGAGTAAAATTTTATCCTCTTGGTAACCAAGCAGCAGCTCACGTTGGTGGTCTATCACCACAGCCATGGCCTGATGTTTTTAAAGAGATGTTGTGAAGCTCTTTCAGGAGAATTTTTTCTCCCTTACTGTTAGAAATAGTCCAGCACACAGTAGAGCCTAGTTGATTTTGGTATGCATGTTAACAGGGTCTTGGAGCAAAGTCTTGTCCTCGTGGACTTCATTCCGGCTGTTGTGGGGGCAAGGCTGGAGGCATGTACCTTTGAAGGCAGTACATGCATCCAATCTGCTGATCTACCAGCTGTTGCATCGTATTAAAGACAAGCAGAAATGCATCAACATCAGGGAATACAAGAAAATGGGACTGGAACGCTACATGGCACTTAAGTAGGGAAGGAATAATATTAATGCTGGTTTTGCAATACCCTCCTGAACTCCAGTATCACGATAAATGTCAAGTCCCCTTTCTAAACGGTTTACAATCTAAGCAGAATATGGAAACAGATGTTTGAATGAGAATCACAGGATAACACGACAGCATACGGTAGCAAGAGAATTCCTTCAACACATACAGTTGCCTTAGTATGGCAGTTTTCTTCAACATTGATCTGCTGTGGATTCATGCCTTTTGATGTTATTTTGTTTCTGAAAACAGCTCATATTGTAAGTGGAGCACCTTGCTGCTGTGGTGATAGATAGTCTAGAAAAAAACCTCAATTTCACAGTATGCCAGTTAAAGTCAGATACAGCCTATACCATCATTAAAACAAACCCACAGAGATCTCTAAAGTAGCTCTTCACCACTAAATAAATGCCACAACTATTCAGTATCTAACTCTGCAGAAAGGCAATGTGACAATTTTGGCCAAAAAAAGAAAAATCATAAAAGGGTATTAGGACACCGAGTTAGTGCACTTGTAGCCCGTCATGAGGTGAAATGCCTTTTCTACTTTATATTCCTACTGACTGACAACTAAAAGAATCTCTGGGACTGTTTTAGTTAGGGACAGTCCAGCTTTCCAAGACAGAATAGTTACTGTAACAGATTTATCTTTTTAAGCCCTTTACCATTAGGCCATCAGTCAGAAGGTGAGACATCAAGCTTACCACAAACATCAGCAGAAACAGCTACATGTAAAATTTATTTATTGCAAGGCCAAAGGGCATATGACAACTCATAAGCAAGGGCCATGAATAATTGACACGCGCGAGGTTCTTGGAGCTGAAGGCCAGGGCTTGGCTCCGGGATACTCTACGTCTTCACGAACGCTGCCCAGCTGGTGACTCGGCAAGCACCGTTCAACTGAGGTACAAAATGACCTGGGGATTTTATCTTTAAAATACAGTATCCTTTAAGCAAAGGCTGGGTCCCTTCCCCACTCTCTGCAAACTCCCTTGTGGTATCAGCTTCTTGTGCAACAGGAAGAGCGATACAGAAAGTGAAAGAGAGGAGAGGAGGAGCAGACATGGATAAGGCGGCGGCAATGAAAGGCGAACTAAGTGACACAGAAAAAACTAAAGAATGTGATAGAAAACAGCCAACGACATTCTGAAAAAAGAGAAGTCCTGTTACAATCTGCTCTCCTATTAAGGAAGAAAGTCCTTCCACCAGCTAAACAGCAGCTCCTAAAAATATCTTCCTTGAAACACACAAGCTTTGGTCTCTGTGGAAACAGAGCTCCATCCGACAGAGCGGGAGACCCAAATTAAATTTATGGGTATGCTCCTGCACTTGTCCCATGGAGCCCATCAGAGAGTTCAAAACAAGCAGGGCAACATTGCCATGCGGAAACCCGCCTTCAGCGAAACCAAAGCAGGAAGCAATTCAGAGTTACTGTGGGCATATGTAAAACACTGATTTGACAAGGGGGGAGAAATAAAGGAAAAAAAAAAAAAAGAAGGCATGCTTTTTCCCCCAAGGGAAGTCAATTACTGAGAACTGCAAAGCTACTGCTGTTTAAAATGATGCAAGCCTTTCTGCTCCCCCTTACCCACAAACACTTACCAGGTGGCAAAGTTCTCCAGCCTAGTCTACTCTCAATAACCCATGAGTAGATTATGTGGATTACAAATTACTTTTCTTATGTGTGCAGAAAAAAAAAACCCAGATATCTTCACAAGCAGTATAGCTATCTGCACCTACAGCTTCCCCGCTCAGGCCAGGCATAGCTAAGGCACCAACGCACCCCACGGTTAATAGTAACACAGTATTCC